ATCTACTGGATCTTCTTCGAATGCTGCCTCTCCCAGAGATCACTGATTCTTCAAAATGATCTTGAAGGGTCAGCTCCTCCACAAGATCATTTCTGTAATTTTCCTCATATTCCTCAGACCCTGTATCTTCACTTTCTTCTGATGTCCCGTCACCTTGAAGGTTGTTGCTACAACCCTAGTGAGAATTCAGGACATACAATCACAAGGCATTTTGAGCAGGGAGACGGAAAAGCACATTTTTTTTTCTCGTGAGTACTGCTGTTTCAGTCATGTGATCACTGTTGCCTATAGGCCTGTAATGGCAGAGCAGTAGACTATTTGGTCTTGATTTCCGCCCCCCTTTTTTTCTTTAAGCAGTCTACAGAATTCACCTGGAATCTAACAGCTCTGTGGTTATGCCACAATTACATATTCTGTGCCTTCACTTATGTTTTTGACATATTGGATTGCATAAATGTGAAACACTTTTATAGGTGAACCCCTCAAGAATTCCAAGCCTGTGTCTGCGCCCAGACTAGTATGACTGAGCAGCTGCCAGCTGGATAACATGCAGGAACTACAGAGAGAAAATGGCTCCACACACCAGCATTTCACAGCTTTGTGAAATGAAGAAAATAAATACATTTTCCCTTACCTGCTGCATTACAAGAGAGTAGTAGACTCCCTTCTGCAACATGAGTTCACTGTGTGTTCCTTGTTCAACCACGATGCCTTTCTCAAATCCAGCAATAGTGTCAGCTGTCCTGATGGTAGACAGTCTGTGAGCAATCACAATGGTTGTACGTCCAGTCCGAGCCTTACAGAAAAAACAACAAAATCAGTTTACATTAAAATGTGCAAGAAAACAGCACAGAAATAAAACATAGTTGTTTTAGGCATTTATAATACAAAATGTGTCCAAACTTTAAAAAGAATTCTTTCTTCTAAAAGCAAAGATTTTTTTTCCCTGGTTTCGTGCCTCTTGTTTAACAGTCAAAGGACCCTTTCACTTGCCTGATTCAGGCAGAGAAAACCACATTAACCTTATTAGACAGGCAATGCAGGTATTAAAGGCTATAATTAAGGTTATTTGACTTTTTACCAAACTTGAACTGTTCAAGCTAAAGTTGCCTATAAAGCATTTCCATGTGTATGCACACATGGGAAGGAAACACAGTGAAAATATTTAGAAAGGATATTTTCTTTATACACTGTCCACGCATACTTTTGGAAGTATAACGTTAGCATGACATCTGACAAGACTTAGCAGGAAAGCATAGAGGAGTGGAGCACATCTGGGGTCAGAAATGGGTTTTAGCCATTCCCTAAAGTTCTCTCCCAGTCTTTTGAAATAAGCTACATCTCAAATCGGGGCCCTGCTGGGTTTTGGCAGGGAGAACCACTGGGGCCTCAGCCTGCAGGTTACATGCTCCATCCATCTCTCCAGGTCCCACGTGCAGAGCAGTGGTGTGCACGGTCCTCATGCAGCAGAGGAGCACACACCAGCTCACAGCTGCTGGAGGTAACGGCTTCCCTCCTCGCTGATGCCTGGAGCAGGAGGAGAAATCCAAGGGGACCTCATGCAACAAGTAAGTTCTGCAGTTAAGGAGCCTGCTGGAAGTTACTTGCTATAGAAGTTGTACATCGTATGGGAGCAGGAACAGGGGCGTGGAGAAGATAAGGACAGTTTTAGCAGATTAACACTTCCATGGAAATTTAGATTCTTCCCCTACACCTGCCATCAAGTTCTCATGGATCTGACGCAAGCCACTTAAAGCCTCTCACAGGAGGTCTCTCTTGGTGCAGTTTTCATGCCTGTGCCCAAATGCGCAGAGGTGTGGAGCCTTCACTACTGCAGCTGGGAGCTGTGATCAGAACAAGCAAAATGCTCTAAAAGATTCAAAATTATCTAAAAAATAGCAGACTACAGGCATCTGAATATGACAGCTCAGAAACGGTGTGCATGTGTGAGGTTAATATCTCTGCTCCCCAGCTGTAAAAATAACGAACAATATTAGCACCACTTTTTCCACTCAGAGATCTTGAGAAGAAACTTTTAAATCCCATTTGGGGGCTACATTGGTGAACAGCAAAAAGCTGTGAAAGATGAGTAAGTTACGATTCAGGACCCATTTTGGTGTGTTCTGGGTACATGCTGAAGGATGAAGAGTATATGAACAATCCCCCTGAGTGATCTCCCTCTATATCATGCACTAAGCTTCTGGAAAAGGTTAGTATTTGGATCATGGAATTCAAGAACATGCAGAAGAAAGCTAAATTACAGCTGAAGTGGCAATCTTTTAGTGCTTAACTTTGCAGCAATAATATAATTTATATACTAATTAGACTAGATGAATATTATTTTTGCATCCACATGTTACCTCAATATTAATAAAATCAGTATAGTTATGTGAATATAACTAACAGCTACATTTTACCTCAGATTTAAACCGACGCAATGAAGGTGGTAAACTCTGTACTTCCCTTAAGCCATATTTGTAACTCATATCCCTCTGAGCATAACTACTGAAATTAAAGGCAGGATTTTTCACTTAGCTTTTAAAAATACATGAATATTAGATAAATGAAAAAACATTCTAGCCCAACCATTGAGTTCCTTTTTAATCAAAACCTTTAGGCTGCACTACATCTTGGTGGAAACTGCTGACAAAGGAGGTCTGTGAGGAAGGGACTGTGAGCTGCTGAGACAGAGGCATGGGTACAAGCTCTGACAGCTCTGCTCTACTGTAATGCCCACCCTAGAGCTGTAGGGCTGATAAAAAACACAAGGGGGGCAGAGACTCAGTGTTTGTAACTGGCTCTGCTTTTTTTCTGTGATTTGCATTCAGTCTCTGTGAAGAAAGAAAATGGCTAAATCCCAAGAGCTTTCTGAAAATTATAAAGCAACTGCTCTATGAAGAATGAATATTAGGAATATTATACTATAAATTTCTATTAAATCTACCTAAAAAAGTCCATTCAGTCCTCATACCTTGCTTTGATAAGATGCCATCCATATTTCATCAGCAAAAGTAATTTGAGGAAGGGAGTGCAGGAGACCTAAGTTGTGGTTACACATGACTGTAGGTGTCTTGATAATTAATAATAGTGCTAAAAAACCCCAAATAGACATGATTCCTAAGTAAAATTTTGCTCGTTTAAACTCCCTGTTAAAACAACAAAATTGAAACATCATCCAAATTTTATTTTTCCAGTGTTCTTGATTCTAATGGAAACCCACACTGAAAACTCTATGTTAATTTTTCTTCATTGCTATTGCAACTTTTCATGGCGACCGGTAGCTTCAATTACGTGACTCCTACCTTATCGAGAGCTGCTTGCACTATGGATTCGCTCTGAGTGTCTAGTGCGGATGTAGCTTCATCCAGAAGAAGAATCCTGGGATTTCTTGCTAGGGCACGGGCAATAGCTATTCGCTGCTTCTGTCCTCCACTCAGCTGAGCCCCTCTTTCCCCTACCATGGTGTTAAATTTCTGAGAAAGGAGAAAATAAAACATACGTTGTGCAATGTCTCAAATGAAATCCTCACTTCTCTGTGTGAACATAAGTACTCAGCTTCTAAACAAGAGGTATCTTTATCCAGCCGAATTGAGCATGGGCAGAACAAACATGCAACTACATCCATCCACCTAGCACTTAGCCAAGCCCTCCTGCCCCCATTACATACTTTACACACCTAACTTTGAACTTATGGTTCTTTAAAATCTTGATCTTTACTACTTGCTCAGAGAGCGGTCCAAACCCTGGGTTTTCTCAAGGCAAGCCTGTAAAAGGGATCACTGTATTTACTGAGGGCTTTTCCAAACAGGGTTGGAATAATAGGGACCCATGAGGACCTATAACATTGCCTAATCTGAACCTGAGACACTCCCTTTGGAGCCATGGCTTGGTTCCTACTGACTGTGTCACTCACCCCAAAGTGTCAGGTCTCAAAGTCCACTCTAGTCTTTTATTATATAGCTGCTTAAGAGTAAATATGATCAAATAACTCTTCCTGAGAAGAAGGAACCTTGAAACAGACTGACACGCTAGAAGCAGATGGGGACCGAGCTCTCTGAGGTAGTAGAAGAATTTGAAATCAAATCCCAGTTGGGCACTTTTTCCACGGCTTTTTAACTGCAGGACCAAAAGGAAGGACGCATCATCATCCATTCCTGAGGACGTGTTTTGAATGACTGATCTCACTTCCCACCTCCACCCTGAAAGGAGTAAGGCACCTACGGCTAGGAGAGGGCTCAAAAGCTGTGAATCTCAGGCAGAGGCAGAGCTCAAGCTCCCAGCTGGTAAAAATGGCCTTGGTTCGGGGTATACTTATTTACTTCAACCTCCCATTGCCTATTGAATGTGCAGACAGTTACTGACAAAAGGGTTTGGATTTATGGATCTTCTTTTTAAAAGCCCAGCTCTTCCCATGCCTTGTGAGATGGGTAGGGATGGTAACACAGCTGTGAAGCTTCCCTTCTTCTAAGTTAAGGCATTGACATTTTTTTTTCCAGACTTAGGCACAAATCCTTTGAAGGCAACCAACCAAAGACACAGTATCTAGTCCAGAAAGTCCCTGAACTAAAAGCTGCTGGAGGCTGTAAGACTATTTTGGGAAGTTATACTACAACTCGAATTCCCATGCTCTCCCTTCTCAGAAACAGGACACCAGCCTAAATGGACCTTTCGTTCTTACACTCAAACGAAGTTCATGAACTCACATCAGGCAGTCTAGATATAAAGTCAAAAGCATTGGCTTCCTTGGCTGCCTGCTCAATTTCAGCATCAGAAATATCTTCTCGGCCGTAGCGAATGTTCTCAGCTATTGTTGTTGCAAACAAAACAGGCTCCTGGCTCACAATACCGATATTTTCTCGTAGCCACCTTACATTAAGCGTCCGAATATCCCGACCATCTAAGGTAATCTGAGAAGAAAAGCTTATGTCAAAGAAGTTGAGGAAAGGCATTCTGTTCATGATAAATCAGTTCATTACTATTACCTAAGTAACAGCTGCAAGGACAAAAAATAAAAAACCTGTTGCCTTGAGTAGAAAACTATGTTGGGGGAGAAGTTACAACTGTAGTTTTTCCAACCACTGCACAAGCTAGAAAATAGTGAGGAGCAGCATAAACAGAGAAGACATCAGGGTTTGGTTTTTGTTTGTTTGTTTTTCCCCAATCTTGTCCAAGATGGCTTAAGAGTTTTCCAGCTTCCCTGCACACTTTTTACCCTGTTCTCATGCCCCTGTGCCAGTTTGCTGTCCTTGCAAGTTGTGGCTACACAACTGCCTCTGTGGCTGTGCTTTACACCAGATCAAACAAATAATTCACATATTGACTAAAAAGGAAGGGAAAGTTATTTTTACCCTAGATCATTTGCAATGTGGTCCTATGAACATTGACATTAGCACAGGGGACAAAGAGCAAGCTGAGGCGTGGGGGCAGGAATGAACAACCACAGAAACTCTAAGTTTAAGAAACAACTGTGTTGTTAACAGATAGCTGCCTTGGTACATTATATCATGATAGTTCAGCATTTAATACCTGAAATGCTTACCTAGTTCCAACTAGCAATAACAACTACTAAGAGCATTCTTCAAATATTAAGTATAAAAAGAACATTTTCCTTAAAAACATATTGTTTATTTTCCTCCTCTTTTCCTTTGGAAGTTCCTTATGAGAAGCACGTACCTTTTACTGACCAGATCTAGTGTTTAGTAGTAGAGCAGACATACAATGTGTAATGATGGAAACTTTTGCTGTGGGTTAGCAGATAGAGAAAAATGAGCCAAGAAAAAAATGATTTGAAATAGGAAAACTCTCTCCAGTTTTTAGTACACAATCAATGAAAAGGAAGCAAAATACAGCAGAGTGCTGTTTGCTTAAAAAAGTTTACAGAACCTTAAAAGCCAATTGTTGATGAAAATAATTTTAAGTTCAGATCTCGCATCTATTCAAAGATCTGTGGTATTTACCACTCCTGACACAGTATTGCAAGAAGGAGGGGAATAATGAAGTCAAGCCGACAGCAGAAGATAGTTAATTTGAAATTTGAATTGTGGAAATGCTGAACTATACAGAGATATGCTCAAATTCAATAAAAAATAAAAATAAAAAAATCAAAGTTCAGTCGATATGTGAAACTCAAGCTTATCCCAATAGCTCTCAGTTTTTACACTTTGCTTGCAGGCACTCACTTCTCCCTGGACAGGATCGTAGAATCTCTGCAGCAACTGAACAGTGGTGCTTTTCCCACAGCCACTGGCACCAACTAAAGCAATGGTCTTCCCAGTTTGAACTTTCAAGTTTAGACCTTTGAGGATCTGGGGGAAAAAAAAACCACAACAAACAAAAACCCAACCAAACTTAGTTTGCCAAGTTTGATTAGAGAACAGTCTGTCAAGGTAACTGTAGCGATAATCAAGGCAGTAGTAAGGGGTGCAGTCTGAAGGTATGGCAATATTAGTAAGTTAATTGTATCTGGGAATATTCTGGGGCACTGTTATGAAAGATCCTGCATCTATGCTTGTGGAGTGTACCAGCCTTCAGAACAGGATGGCTACATGCAACCTGACTTTTGGGAACGGTCCCTGGATCCTTCTGGCTACCAAACCAAGCCTGGGAATTGTTTGAGAAGATTGATAACTGGAACAGGCCAAGTTAATGCCAAGAAACATTTTAAGAGTTCCCTTGCATAGACCGTTGCATTCCAGTGCCTGGGAAAATTCCCCAGCACACTCAGATCAACTAATACAGACACAGCCACAGTACTCTCAACTTGATAGCTCATTTTCTCCCAATTTGTGTGATCTGGTGGCAGGCTCAGGGTTTTATGTTCTCCTGCTGTCCTCTATTTTCCAAGCTGAGACAATGGCATAACATTTAGTTATGAATCTTACAGGAAGATGCTTCTAAGGTGCTGAACATTATTGCTGAGAAACAAGCCTGCCTTCTTCTATTTTTAGAATCGAAATTGCTGTTTTGACAAGGTGGCTGCTGGAAAGTCCATAATGAATCCCAATCCATATTGTTAACAGCCTCAGCAACCTGGAGAGTAGTTACAGATTAATGATACCTTTGTTGCCACTTTCACATTTAGGAACATTTTACACTTCAAAAGATGACCATGTCGTATACGAGTAATGCTGTGTAGTTGCCAAAATACTTGGCTGCTATGGGAACTCTTCTTGTTTATACCAGGCTGATTTATAATTTTGCCTACACATGTTTTTGCAATGAGAGATTAAAATAGTTGCAATATTGCTCTCCACCCCCTGTGTTACATCCAGCAGGGTCTGTATCTCCAAAAAGCTGATATTCTGGTGCCTGCACTATCAAGTAAGAACTATATTCTGGATACCACAATTTCTCCGGATATAGTTACAACCACCTAATAGGCTATTTCTACCTCTCTTTTATCTGGCAAGGTGTTGTCAAGATTAAAACTGACAACAACTAGACTCCTTAGATCTCTTTGATTTGGTTTAGCCTGGACAGGGGAGATTACACTGTGTTGCATCAGTTACTTGAGAGATTGTGGATAACGTCTAGACATTTTTGCTGATTCCTTTTGGCTCTATTAAATAACATCGATACTCTTAGTAGGGAGAGCTGCTGACTCAGTAGATTTGGCAAGGATGACAAAATGTTTCTTATTTCCCTCCCACTTGGCATGCAGACCCATAACGTAGCTCATTGGCCTGAATAGCATTTTAAGAAGGAGGCTGAAGAGTCTGCTCTGTCACTTCTGGTTTCTGAGCCAAGAGGGAAAGAAGATGCAATGCACTGACTCCAGTTCGGCAGGAAGCCTGGCTCTGGGTCTGTCCTACAGCAGCCCCAGCGTCCTAGAAACAGATTTGGTGCACAATGGGATAGACCTCAGATGACTGAGATGGGAAAAGCCATCTGAAGAAATAGCCACAGTGATACCAACTTTCCCATTCTCATCCCTTAATTGGCATGTCCAGATTTTATTTGTTGACATTTAATATCTCTATTTCTACCTCATTCTTCATCAAGCAACAGCAGCAGCAAACACCTTTTCCTTTCACCTTTATCAAGGTCTTCAAAAGTTCATAAACTGTTGAATATGGTAGAGAGGTCAAACCAACTGTATCACCACAGAAGTAATCACCATGACGTGACTTACATAGCACTGCACAGTGAGGGTACTGGCGGACAAAAAGCTGGCCATGAGCCAATGGTGTGCCCTCACAGCCCAGAAAGCCAACCATATTCTGGGCTGCACCAAAAGCAGTGGGGCTAGCAGGCTGAGGGAGGGGATTCTGCCCCTCCACTCTGCTCTGGTGAGACCCCACCTGCAGTTCAGTTCTGGAAAGACCTGGGCCTGCTTCGGTGGGCCCAGAGGAGGCCCACAAAAATGGTCAGGGAGCTGGAACATTTCTCCTGTGATGAAAGGCTGAGAGAGTTGGGGTTGTTCAGCCTAGAGAAGAGAAGGATCCGAGAAGACCTCACTGCGGCCTTACAGTACCTAAAGCAGGCCTACAAGAAAGATGAGGGCAATCTTCTTTACAGGGCCTGTTGCAATAGGACAAGGAGTAAAATGATTTTAAACTAAAAGAGGGTAGATTTAGACTGGATAAGGAAAACATTTTTTACAATGAGGGTAGTGAAACACTGGCCCAGGCTGCTCAGAGAGGTGGTAGAAGCCCCTTCCATGGCAACGTTCAAGGTCAGGTTGGACAAGGCTCTGAGCAACGTGATCCAGCTAAAGATGTCCCTGCTCACTGCAGGGGGGGTTGGACTAGATGGCCTTTAGAAGTCCCTTCCAGCCCAAACTATTCTATGATACTAAGGGAAGTTCAACTGGCAAAGAGTAGGGACATCAGTTTATTGAACAGCAGTTTTAACATATGTACAAAATAACATTTGACTTCCAAATATATACTATAGTTATACGTATATATATATATATATTAAGGATGACATTTTTCAATCCATTTGATGGCATATTGTTGTAAGACTTATCTCACAGGTCATTTTTCACATGGGATATCACAGCAACTCAGAACAACCAAGGGACTGGAAAGAGCAACTTCCTGGTTTAACTGCAAACTCTGGATGTTTTAATGACAGATCTTGAAAAATCTTATTTGGTTTATCAAAGCTCTCGTTCACAAAAATTCAGACTAGGAGCAACACATACTCTTCCTAGCCTTGTCCAGCAGAGGAGAATGGTGGGCAGGTAGCAGTGGATCTAGAGCTTTGTCTTTGTGCAGTATCGAGGGGAAAAATGTAATGTCCCATCTCCTGAGAGAGGCATGCATTTTGCATTCAAGAACAAGATTAGACAAATAATATGGACATAGGCTGCAGAATTCCAGTACAGTAGACAAATCTAAAACAAACACTTACTTTAACATCAGGTCTGGATGGGTAACTGAAATGGATGTTTCTGAATTCAATTTCTCCTATGAGTTTGTCTGGTTTGTAGCCTTCCTTAGAACTGCTATCTATGAGCCGTTTCTGGAAAGAGGATTTTAAAATACATCGCTGGTTATTACACTTTTGGAACTGGTATTTCAGCTGGATACATTGTTCTCTCCCTTACTTTCCCAGCTGCTGGTTTGCACTGCAGTACACCTTTGCAGAGCTGCAGTATTTTACTCGCAGGATGATGAATGCAGGGGAACATCTACCTGTGAACTCTACTTTGACAAACATAGTACATTTTCAAATGCAACAAAATCCACAGCAGAAAATCTGTAGTTGCAGAACTTAACTGTACTGTCTCGCAGCCAAAGCATGGCCCTCAGTAATCCATATCTGAGGATTTTATACCTATATCAAGAAAAACAACGTAGCTGTTTCTGCATGAATTTTCTAGTCCTACTTGTTCAAAATATTTTATACACACAGATATCCAATTCTTGCATAACACAGCAAGACCTAGATAATAACAATGTGGAAACCCTTTTCATAGCAACATCAGCACTGCAGCTTTATATTATTATAAATTTCAAGAGCACTATTAATCCCTTCATCATCAACTCCCTCCCCCCCAAAAAAAACAAAAACCAAAACCCCACACCAACAGCTCAGCTGAAATTGTGCATACATGCATTTTTTTAAAAAATAGTATAGTGCCTTACTACTTTCCCTCTGGAGTTGCAAGTCTAATTTTAGAGAAAAACTTCATCCGTAAGTCTCAGATATGCATGCCAGGTTTCCCAACATTCATTATAACAAACAGAGAGGCAGTTTTCTTGATATGAATGGAATTATTATGGGTTTCAGTGGTAGGCATCTATCAAGGTTATGGTTTAGGGGCTTTTGAGGGTTTTTGTTACATCTCTCCATGGGGAAAAAAAAAAAAGGAAAAAATTAGGTGTAGTTGAAAAAAAGCTTCTTTTCTATTTACTTAGATACTTACCTTACTGATAATCCGATATACTTCATAGGCAGCCCCACGTGCATTAGCCACACTCTCCAGGTTGGGAGCTGCCTGGCCCAGGGAGAAGGTTCCAACGAGCACAGAGAAGAACACCTGCGGGAAATGGAGGGAAGCATCGCAGTTAACAGTGATTACAGAGCCACCAGTGCCCGGCTGTTAAATGTCCATGACTTTCTAGTGCACCCTTTCCAGGAAAATCAAGTACAAAAGAGAAAGGTGCATTTCACAGTCGCCCCTGTCCACTCCCCATTTTCCCAGGGTGAATGGTAACCACTGCCACATGCTTTTGTGGCATGAAGGACTTTTCTTTTTGATGTTCTTGCATTTTCTATCATGTACAAATAGAACAAATATCTTTCTCTGTTGCTTTCCAGATGTTCCCAAAGTTAAGAGGCTTGCAAAATTTAGTCCAGATTTTCTTAACTGAAATCCCACCTGTGGGACCAACACACAATTAACTTGACATGCTGTGAGGAGCCATACCGAGGAGGACTCATCAGAAGTCCCTTGAGTGTGAAAGTTAAGCATATAGCCAAAAATTTTGATGGCAAGAAGATAGCTAAGTACCCTCAAACCATTACCAACTTAGACATATTGGTAACGTACCGTAAACACTTGCAAGTAAACAACAAAATGCACAGAAGACAGTGTGGCTAAATGAGATGTTGTGGACTTCCCCGTACACATTCAGCACATCCGTGGGATTCATTTAATCCTAGTGTCTAGCTAGAATTTTGCTGGCAGTCCAGGTTACTTGTCTTTGCTCTCTAACCACCAGCCCTAGGCTGTTCATCCTGCCTTACAATAGGGTGTGAGACAAGTGAGAAAAGCGCAGGTACTTTTGCCGCTACATGGATTAGAGTGGGAATTCAAGTTCGAACTTGTTATATTGAAAGGTAGGCAAGACGAATGCCTTCCTTTCAGTTCTTTTATATCAAGCTGGTCTCTAACAGCTAATTTAGCAAGCACTTGGCAGAAAATAGAGATAATTATATACACCACTTATAAAACTCTTTTCTTGAAGTGACGGAGCATTTTTCAAAGCTACATTGCTGTACTTACAATTAACACACGGCCGATGTCATAATTTTTGTCCTCAGCAGTGAGCTTCGTTCCATACCAAAATGCAAGTGCATAGGATCCAAAGATAAGAAAATTTGCAACACCTAGAGATGTGTTGGTGGTAATGGATTTTTTCACTCCAACACTTCTAGCCATCTCTAAGTTAGCATTGTATCTGCAAGTGGATAAGGAAGCCATTAATTTGACAGGTACCACAAGCCATTCTGATTAATATTTCCTAGTGCCCTTTTTTATTTAAAAGGATATCTGCCATAAAAACAATTAAAGTCTCATGAAGAGAATACAGTGGGGTTTTTTGTTTTGTTTTGTTTTGTTTTGTTTTTTTAACAGAGGACTAGTTGGGACAAAATTCCTTTGAATAAATCTGCTCTGTCATACGCCGGCAACATTGTCATATTGTTATGGAAGATGTATTTAGAAAACAATTGAGTAGCATGACTTTGTTACCAGGATGGAAGACATGATACCACTCTTGAGCCACTTGTTTGCATTAGTCCTGAAAGGAATCCTTGAAAAAGTTTATCAGCATTACATATCAAATTGTCTTCCACAATTAAAAGAGGCAAAACAAACAAAACCAAACCCCAGGCACCATGGGTGAAAGCAGGTAAAAAAAAAATAAATATAGAAGCCAGGGTGCCCTCCAACACCAGTTTTTCCTCTTACTGGCCATTCTGGGAAGACAGGAATCTTTCCTTTAGGTTGGTTTACTGATTAATACGGGAACATAGCAAGCAAGCGGACATGGAAGACCAGTATAAAGACTGACAAGCTCAGTTTGATAATTCTTTCTTCAAAGGACAGTTCTTAGTTATTCATATACAGTTTCCAGCTAATACCTTTCCCTTACTTAAGCTCATTATGAAAAGAACAGCCTAAGAATAGTGTATTTTTTTACTTGTCAGTGACATGCTCAGCAGCTTGCAATTTTTTTCCTAATACGTACTTTCTACACAAAACCTCTGCATAGTAGGAAGACATGAAATTCAGTCAGCCGGGAAGGAATCTTAAAACAGTGTGCATTAATTTTGTTCATGCAAATTGCTCACATGCTACCAATGCTGTACTTGTTACTCAAATACATTTAAATGTTTTGACTTGGCCGTGTTCTTAAAACCAAGCCCTACCTTTGAGCCAGCAGCATCATAGGTCCTCCAGGGAAATAAGAACTGGATTTAAGAAATGTAACAAGTACACATGATCACTTGACTACAGAGGAAGAGCCAAGCCACTGCCAGAAACAGAATATGACTGGAGGTGTCTTGCAAGCATAAACATTTGCAGTCAGTGGAGGCAGTGCGCAGTGAACGCTTGCTTTTCTGAACGCTGAGGCCATTGTTCAAGAGCTGAGCAGGAGTCATAGTCTACTGCTTGAAAAATGCCCTAGTCAGTCCCTGGCATGAGTTTGTCTGTCCCTAGTAGATGATGTTCCCAGGAGAGCCACCAGATCCATGTTTTTTACACTAAATGGAAGTGGAGCTGTGGAAGAGGCTGACAGGTCAACCATGGAGGAAAGGAAAGGCCTTACTAGCATGGAGTTACCCAGGTACCAGTTATTTTGTCTCTAGACCTCAAAAAAAAAAAAAAAAGGTTTGAAGCAGCTCCTACCATTGGATTTTCAGACACTGGTATTTGCAGGGACCAAGAAGAAGAGCAGGAGGAGAGGCACAACTGAACTAGGCCATCTTAGGGCCTTTTTTTTGCCTTTACTGTGTAAACAGAAAGGGTCTTAATATTGTTACACTGCAAGATAGTTAGAGCTCAGCCCTTGGAGGCAGACAAATAAAGGAGCAGGCTGTAGGACCCCGAGATAGGGCTAACATCACCTTAGAAATTTCGCATAAGACCAGGGCAAACATGAGAGTTGAATAAGACAGAAGAGATTCATGGATCGTATGGATCAGGTCTTCTGGTTTGCCTTTCCCAACCTCATGGCACTGATGCTCTGTATTTGTATACTGAATGTTATTGTTTATGCTTGTTGAGTTACCTGATACACATACAAATAAATTTGTGGTCAGCCATATCCACCTCACCTTTTGCATGTGACTAGGGCCAACACCGGATTAGGTCAACTACAAGTGTTATTTGCAAATCATTAAAAGTAATAAAAGCCAGTGATGCGATTTTACTTAAGGCTATTATCCAGTGAAGCTTAAATATAAGCTCATTAATCAAAGATCAGAACAGCAGTGCACATGTTCTAGAAGTTAAGCAATTAATCACATGCTTTGCTGCACTTGACTACTAGGTAAAGATAACCTTCCCACCACTTTCACTTTAAATTCAACTCCAGATCTCAATCAGAGGAGAAATTTGAGTCTAATGCTGCAGTGATAACACCAAGTAGCCTGTATTTACTGACTAGGTGTATTTACACATCTTTATTTTCAGGTGAGCTGTCTGCTCTACAGAAGGATAAAATGACACTAAGGAGAATCTCATTCCCACACCTCTCCAAAAAAAAAAACCACCAAAACAAACAACCTCGCAAATCACAAACGCAACCCACAGCCAAACTCCTTTTCCATATTTTGAATATAATTATTATTTCAAAAACTTACTTTGCTAATGCCTTCTCCTGTCCATTGAAAGCCACAACAGTCCTGATTGCTGTCAAAATTTCTTCTGCCACTGCTCCTGCTTTGGCATAAGCAGACAGCTCTTTAGCAGTAAGGGATGCCAGGAGCTGGAAAGTTGAAGAACAGATGTTATTTCACCCTATTGACAGGGTATGCACACTGTACTGGTGAATAAGAATGATCAATGTCCAAGGCATAAGACAAGGCTTTAGGAAAGAGGGGGTGAACTCTTCTCTGTGCCCTGAATTTCCCCAAAGTCCAGCTCATTCTCTCATTGTGTCTTCATTACAGTGAAAGACTAGACAAGCAGCAGACGACCATCATGACTGATCCACTTTCCTCCCAAGCTGAGGACAGCCTATGAGCTGTACTACAATGTGCTGGGGTCAGGGAAGTGTGCCATAGCTGCTCTGGGCTTGTGCACGGTGTTCAGAAACTAGAGCACCAGTAGACATTGAAGTAAGCAAGCTAGTCATGGTACAGCTTCTAATGTTCTTCTTCCCAGCTTCTTTGAAATGCTTCAAGTAGAACAAACCCCTAGTATTATATACACAAGTAACCACTCAGGAATACAGGCTGTATCCATTAGCGTGGCTACAACGGATCACAAGGGGGAAAAGTTTTCCTATCTGAAAGGGAAACCTCTCCATATATTTCAGTAACTTATACTGCTCCAGCCTGCAGGAGCTGTATCTATGTCCTAGGGTCTACTCTGTACACGGCATGAAACTAAGTTATTTGCAAGAGATGTGGTAACCACATATGTGCAGATGGAAAGAGCTTGAAAGGCGTTTGTGTTAAGAGGGAAGAGTGAGGGTCACAAGCGTGTGGCTGGGCTTCCCCAGTGCTCTGGGTGAGGAAATTGCTGTGTGAGGAAGGTGCCCTGACGCAGGTTACCCTCTGTCATGTGGCACGAGGACAGAAGGAATATGACTAACAAGTATGTGCTTGGGAACCCAGAGAAAAGCTACAGGGGGAGCAAAAATCATAAAGTAAGCATGAGGCCAACCTCCCAACTTAGAAACCACATGAGGTTTTTCCCACTCTCTCCCCCTTTCCTGTGCATAAGAGTTGTAATGTCTTTCTGGTTTGCTTTGTTTATTAATCCCCACACACTTACAGTTGACCAAACTGCTGCTGAGGCAGCAAGCAGAGGGCTGACTGACAAAATCACCAGTGTCAGCTTCCACCCGTAGATGAATCCTATAATAATCCCTGCCAGAAATGTGGCAAAAAACTGTACAAATATACAGATCTTGTCTCCGATGCCTTCATGGATGGTGTTGATGTCACTTTAAATAATAATAATAATAAAAAAAGATTTGTTAGCTTTGAATGCCTTTCATTCTAACTCCCTCCCCCTCCATTTCATGCTGTGTGGCCTAATGTCAGAAGCTTTGCCATTTCCTAACTGGCACAGAGAAATTTCTAACCACAGCTACTGAACGGTACCATTAGTCTTTTGTGTGGCCAAAACACAGCAGAAACCTCCTATTTTTTAGGACTCATTTTCTGTATTTTCCATCATTCTCTGCTGTTTCTATGCCCTGTCACTAGGTCAGGAATGACCTAGTTTCCTTGTCCAGCATCCAAATGCAGCAATACAAGTAAACAGCCTCCTTGCCTCCTGTGACCATCTCCAAATGATTCCTTCTGCTCGAGCTCTCTGATGTATTTTGTGTTCTTAATTTTGGCTACAGACTCAGATCAAGGGTTATCTCCATTCTATCAGAACAACCATTACTTGGAAGAACCTCTGTTTTTCATACAAATTTCCTTCCCCCTTGTCTCTTCCCAGCACATACAGATATTAGAGCTGAGAGTGGTTTCATTTAAGCTTCTTTTACACCTTTCAGGACACAGCTCTGTCCAAAGCTACCTTAAAATCCAGAAAAAAAAAAAAATTATCTGTGTGCACACATATAGTCCCATTGCATCTTGGGGCACCACCCCTAAGTCTATTTAGGTCTATGGAAAAGCTCCAAAGACTTTAACTGACTGGACAGAGTCCAGCCCGAGATCTGGCTGGATGTAAATGCAAGCTCATTTCCATTCAATAAAGCGTCAGACCTTTCAGTGTTTGTAAACTAGCTGGAGACAGCAGAGCTGTTTATCTAGTACTGTCTGCCACGTACTTCATGGACATCAGAAAGCCAATGTCAGGCATGTCACAGCAAAACCCCTTTCAATGCATATATCACAGAAACTGCACAAATGAAGCTGCAAAGAATGATGAATTTCTCTTTCCTGAAAAGGATAATGAATTTCTCTCTCAGAGTTGTAATATTTCACACTTAAGGTCTTTTTTTTTTTTTAAAAAAAAAAAAAACAACCCAAAACTCTCTGTAGGCTTTTCCATAGAATATAAATTACAGTTTTCTTTAAAATATCATACTTAGCAGGCTAAAAAAAATGAATCGAGCCCTCACTCTGTCAGTCTGGTGTTCAGCGTTCCTATCTGGATAGTATCAAACCAAGCCATCTCCTGATGCAGCACCGCAAAAAAGAACTTCTGCCGGATCCTTGCTGTCTGCCTTGTAGCAGCAATCAAAAATGTCCATACTTGGATGGTGCTCAGGATCAACACAGCACAGCCAATTCCCACGTAGTAGTAAGCAAACCTGTGACAAGGGAACAAAAGGCCACATGATCCCACTGTATCTCGTGAGAATAGTTAGACACACCAAGCCACAAGTAGTCTTCATTTACCCCACCAAAGTAAATACTGAAGCCTGTGATACATTATTGGGAAGCTTTTTTGAGAAGGCAAATATTTGGCTTCCTCTCAAAGCGATTACACAGTAAAAGAAAATCCCCCAATACTGTTAACAGAATAACTACAAAGATTCTTACTTTGTCATCTCAGTTTCTATATCTATGCCTGGAATTGATGGACAGCTGGAACTATTCACTGAAGTATCTGTGGGCGAGAAAAAAAAAGTACTAATATTTGTGAAAGTATTATATGTAGAAGATAAATCATGGCCATCTAGGGTCACCAGTTTGGCAATATTTTGCATTCTGCAAATGGGATTTTGCAAAATACAAAATCATTCGGCAAATACATATCTATTCTCAAGGAACTTCTAGTAATTAGTGCTTGATAACCGATGATCCAGAAGGTGATCATGCTCCTTACTATCTCACCAAAGTTGAAGATGATTCATAAAGAGCTCATCCAATGCACTGCTTTTCTCCTGGTCTAGCCATTAAAGATTGATTAAAACAACTGGGTCATTTGCATCAGGGTGTGGTTTGCTCATTATATACTTGTTTAGATGTGCACCAGCACGTTGTCTGGGTGAGAAAAAAAAAATCTTAACCCCTGTAGCAAAACCTAACTGTTATGTAGAGAAGACTAATTTTAACTTTTTACCTTCTGACACATTTGATTTCACGCCGCTTAGCACAAAGCTGTTTGTCATCTCTCCGAAGACAATGATCATAAGCGGCAATCCAGTACCATTTGCAACAGCTGCGATCAAACCAGCGATCATCAAAAGGACATCCACCCAATCAGCATAGCGAAACTATGTGAACATTGAAAAGAAAAAAGATTAAAAAAACCCCAACAATGAAGTTATACCTGACAGTTCACGTATTTCTTAGAGTACTGCAGACTTACAGAACATGCTTTGTTTCTACCTACGTACTCTAAGCAGCAACAACACTCCAAGTGAAGGTAAACTCTGAACATAAGAATTTTGTGGCAGGTCCCACACATCTTTAAATCAGTACTCAGCAAGGCTGCTAAGGGAATATTGGCAGGACACACGGTTCTTCCCCAAAACAGGAGGAAAAAATCCCAAAGTGTAGATCCTACATGTTTTTTAAGTCATGATCTTCTCTGTGCAATATATTACATTTTGTGTTCCAGTAAGTTACATATTTACTAAGATAATGCCTTTGAAATGTAAACAAGAGTGAGTTATTGACCAGCACCTGGGTTATATCCACCAGTAGAAAATGTTTGCAGCAGAGATTGTATCTTAAGGCTTGTCTACCCTTGAACATTTGTTTGGTTTAAAGAAGGATGTGAATTTAAACTGCCATAGCTATTCCTGGATGTGGTTAATCTGAAATCAGAACATTTTATTCCTGACTGTCCTAACCCTCTTCCAAAGTGTAAATGGACATGGAATAAGCCAGAGAAGAATAAAACTTCTCTTGTTCCAGAATAAGCAAGTCCACGTGTAAGAGTTATTTGGGACGAGCTCTTGTATGCAAAACTGACACAAAACCGTACTGCTGGTTCTCTCAGAGAGCAAATCCCTCAGATGTCAAACACAGGATAAATCCTTTATAAAAGGAGCCAAGGCGAGGGCCTGTGCAGTATGTATGTCCCAGATCAGCCTCAGCAGGGGTGAGCTTCGTTCTCCAATAGCACTGCGGTTGAACTGCTGTCAGTGCTATCAACACACTGAGGGAGGAATCTGATGCAACAGGTCAAATTTTAGAGGTTTAACACCAATAGATCTCAGGTTTATTCTCCAGTTTTTGATTGCCTATTAACTGCAATTCATAAACAACTCAATGACAAAGAAAAGAAAATATAAAGCAGACCATCAAACTGGACACTAACCAATTCAAAAATACCAACCACCTGTTTCTCTGGCTTCTCATTTTCCTTCCTAAAGGAAAATACAAAAGATTAATTAATATTAGTTTTTTTTTGTAGCAAAGCCCTATTACACCTAAGTAGTGTACGCTCCCCCCCCCCCCCCCCCCCCCCCCCCAACACTAGTGGCCGATGTGTTACGTTCAAAGAATACCTACTTTTTTTTCTTGGGCTTTAACTGGTCACTTTGTTCAAGATTTTCATCATGTTGGAAAGAAGGGTTGTCATATCCCTTGTCTGCAGATTCTGTGAAATTAAAAGCAGATTTTTTTTCCTTTAACATAATAACTCATCTTTCGCACCAGTTTCTCGCAACATTCCCTGCTGATTCTTTTGCATTCAAAGACTACTTTTTCTCATGTTTTTGGAATAGCCTGGTGAATTTTTCTTGAAACTTCCTTTCTATTCAGGTTATTTCCTCTATTCCAGGAAAAAGCTTCCGGCTCCATTTCTGTGATGGAAACAAACTTCATTTTTACAATTATATTTATACAGAAAGGCTATAAAAAACTAAAAGTAAGAACTGATTAATTCTAGAAACACCTACACAACTGAATGCAAATGAGGAGAAGATCTACTGAAATAAGTGGCATTACATATAGCGGAGGTTGTAATTGCTGTAGGTGGCATGGAATAGATGCAAGTTAGCTGAAGAATCATGTCTTTGCCTGTAATAACCATCTTCATTATTTCTTTGTATGGCGGTAGTTGCCACATGTCCCACTTCCTTTGTGCTAGGGACTTTAGAAATCCACCCAAAAGAAGAATCCTACCCCAGAAAATTTATGGTTCTAAGCGCATACAACGAGATGCAATAAATGCACAAAAAAAAAAAAAAAAAAAAAAAAAGAGCAACCACAGTAGGGACCCAGCTGTGAATCGCATGGTGAGAAAAGGGCTCCACATGCCAGTTACCCTCAATTTACATTCACCTGAACTTTAACCACTGACTCACTATGAACAGAACTTTCCACATACTGTTTTTAATGTCAGTCGATCTATAAAGACTGGTTTAGACAACAATTTGAAGGCAATAATGTACTTCCACCTTACTGAGCTTATTTAGGAGCTTTTTCTTGCCCAGGCTAGGACCCACCTAAATAGTTTTAACCACGTAAATGAATTTTGTTGAACTTGGTGGAATAATTCATGCACAAATGTTTTCTAGATGTTGGTTTTAGTTCACTGGAAACTCACTATCTCCCACAAAAGCACTATAGCAATCAGATTTAGCACCTTTAGATTTTGAGCTGTGGAATATATTCTTCAAACACACACGCAACTTTCATGCCTGTGGCTTACCAGCATCGGAGCGGTCCTTTTCTGGGGAATTTACAAAACAGTCCTTCATTGTTCTTCTTTGTTGTATGCTTACAAGATGAAGTCACGTTAATCAAAACCTGCATTAAAAACACGACCAAATATATAGAAACAGATACTTAAAGAGTTTGCATTAAAATATTTGGGGTTTTTTCCATGGTTTGTTACATTTTGGTCTCAATGTCGTCCTACTTCAATGTAATGACTAACAGCATGATAAAGAGCTACTTTTAATATTAACAGTGCAAACCATTGCAATGGAACCTAACTCAGTAGACTGTTTTATTAGTCTTTTATGCTAAATCATATGCTAAAGCAAAATAGGCTTTTATGCTAAATTATTGTGGATGATCTACGACAGAGTAGAGGATTTCCCTTATTATGTTGCGTTTGATTAAAATATTGAACAGTTGTAACACAATAATGATTATAATGATAAAGAATAAAGGTATATGTATGCGTTATGCCACGCACCGACTAAGTAAGATTTAGAGGCGGTAAACGCCTGATGCTCCAGGTTCCCCTAGGCTTTTTTTTCTTGAAGTACCACATATACAAGTTCAAAAGAAAAAAAAAAAAAAAAGGAAAAAAACCCACACGAATTTGACGCAGGCGAAAATAATAGTGATAACAAAACGCATCATGAACAAGAAAACTATCATTATTTTTTAAAACAACTTTTATAACACATTTCTGGCTTTTCCCCCGCACACCCCCCCCCTCCCCCTTCGGGTATTTCAGCT